CGCCGCTTTCCGAGAATCTGCTGACAGGCTGACAGTCATCTGGACCATCAACCGCGCCCGCCGCGGGGCGTGCCGAAGGTGATGACCGACGTCGGGGGCCTGATATCTGAGTCAATGCTGTTCACGTTCGTTCACACGTTCGATCACACGTTCGTCACACGTTCAGGAACGGTGTGACGATGACATCACACTGCTCCGGCGAAGCAAGTTGGTGCTGCTGCTGTTTTCTCAGCACCAGGCGCCCAAGGTGGGCAGGAACACAAAGAACCTTGAGATCGTGTTTGTGTACAACGCAACGAAAAAAGGCATGGACGTGATGGACGCAGGGATCAAACGTTACATGGGAAGGCCGCTTCCGCGACTCTGGCTGACTGAAGTCTTCTCTTGATACTGGGCGTCGCCGGGATCAGCGCATTGACAGTACTGCTGCTGAACAGGGGACACGAAATGGCGTGTAGCCCACTCATTGGGGCTTAGGAGCGAAGTACTGGCCGCCATGCCGTTATCAAGAGAACGAGAAGCCAGACCAGCGGAGGGGTGGGTAGTGGCGGTGGCGGCATCGGTGGTGACGAGCGTTGTACCGGTGGCGGTGGCAGTTGCGCTAGTGACGTCAGCACTGGCAGTTTGCTTTCACTGCGGTTTGTGCATAATCGCTTGTAGCAGAGCTGTGGAATGCCATTTTGGACAGTACAAAACGGGCCAGGACTTATTTGGCCCTCCATTTTTGATAAAGTCAACGTGATCTTACCTTGATCGTCCAACCTCATCACTGCATCACACTCACTATTCACTTCAAAATTGCAAGTCCGATGGTTTCCTATGGCATGATTGAATGGCTGCCGGACACCTAACTGGATAGTCTGGCGTTCCATTTAGTAATCACGCCATGAACGTGCATTCAAACGCTTATTCACAACCAAACCATCAATTTGACTTCGACGTTAGAGAGCTAATTAACAAGTAACAACTCTTGCTCACGTACCTGGTACACAAAATTGCAGCTAAGCTCTCCCACTTTCGCGCTTAAACGGTTCAGGTAAGACGGTAATAGGTAGACCACTACAAACGTTTTCACCGAGGCTTCGGCTCTAATTTCCACGGCACGTGGCGTTGAGTCCAGGCCTGGTATGGCGCGCGTGAAATTGGATGCCCTCGCATGTAGCACCTGCGATCAAGGCGCCATTGTTTTACACCATGGGATGCGTTTCTAAATGAAATACCACGTGGGAGCGGTCAGACATTCCTGGGAACGTTTTTAGAATTTGGCCTTGACATGTGTCCTTGATACACACATAATCCTAAATATATTGTGTAGTCTAAACCTCTCGTCACGACGCTATGGATCGCGATCTGAATTTTTGATTTGGCCCGGCCGTGCTTGAGAGCAGGTGTCAACTTTGCCCCCTCCGACCAATGGCGTGCCGCTAAAGAGCCCGGTTCAGGCACGAAAAGTCACTGGTTCTATTTGTCTTGCCCGGGAGCACGATATGGTCAATAAGGAGGTAAATTTTGTGTGGCGTCACATCGTACGCATCCTGACGATTTCAAAATGGGCGGCGCAAACTAGGCTGCACAAGTTATCATGTGCCTAGCTCAGAAACGAGAGGATTTCAGGTCATCAAAAGGGCCTAGCTGTGATCTGCATGTCGTCGTGAAAACTGTCGGAAACCCTAGACAAATGTGTAACAGTGCCTTTACTTTTTTGAATAAATGACGAAATGGGAAAATGGCGACATGCCAAAATGATGAAAACCTTAATGGTGACATGGCAAAAGTTGATGTGGTGGCGCGAAGGCTCTTTGGCAACATTGAATGGTAAAATTGTATACAGGGGTGCGGTGTTTTTTCAGTTGTCGAGGCTTTAGCGCCCCCGCCCCCCGTTCACAAGCAGGCTTCAACCCCCACAACTTTGGGAGAAAATTGGGCCAAATCCTGGGAGAATCCTATTTGTTGGCAAGTTTTGGTGGCAGTTTTCATAATTTTTCGGGCACCCACACAACACATTTGCCGAAAATACGCCCGGATCCCATTTGATTCCGTCCAGGTTGCGTCCAGCAGGGCTCTCTTTGCCAAAACACGGCTCCCGTTTCTTTCCCTCTACGGTAGGGAGTCCACTAGCTGCTGCGTAAGGCTGACATCAACCATCAGTAAGCTCCTGCCAAAGTGTAGAGATTGCTTTTTTCTTGCCATGCTCTTACTTACATCCTAGTTTGCCACCATTTGACTGACTAAAAAAGCGACTTTGTTAAAATGCTACAAGATATAAGCAATGTTTGTGTTTGTGTGGTTCGTGAGGCAGCGAAAACTCTACGCCATGGTAAAGCAGGTCGTGGCAGAACACCCAGCAAAAAGTAGACGTGGGTTTGTTAATGCAACGTTGGGATCAGCGTGAAAATTAGAACCTGCCCTCTGTTTATGGATTTCGAACGTACAGACGATTGGGGCCTATAAAAAATGAATGATGTTGGTTTCCGACCCGAGCTATATCTGTGTAGCAGTGGTGTTGTTGGCGAAGAGAGATGACGTAATGCTGCTGCTGATGATGATGTTGTTAAAGTTGTCCGTAATAAATCGCAGTAACCACAACAGTTTTAATGTTAAGAAAGAGTATATTTTTGGAAAAATGACCACGCGAAGCAGTTTATGCCGCGGGTCCTGGCCGTCCCATCCGATTACCAGATTGGGAAATTCCATTAACCATGACTGTGGTTGGGTTTAAGTAGGCTTATTTGATGCCATTCTGCGCTGCAAGATGCTGTCGATTTTATTTAAGTACATAGGAGTGTCCCTTTTGAAATCGGTGTCGGGACTCAGACAAAAAGGCTGGCCTAAACTATCTCAAAACTTACTTTCTCTGCGGATTTCTGCCCCTTGAATCTACGTGCACCATGTCAGAATAAAATAAAAACTTTTTGGAACACTTCATAAAGTTACACCTGCTTACATGCGAAACAAATTATTCCGCATTTTAAGTTAATGTGAGCTGTCTTTTTGTTAAAAGCTTAGAAAGAGGCATAATTCGCGGAAAATTCTTTTTAGGACATCACAGTAAGGGATCACTGATGTCTGCCACTGTCGCTGGTCGCGTGGTATAACCACCACGACCGCGATTTTGCGGCACATACGCTTTCCATTTTCGGGGAAACGATTACATGATTTGTGTAAGTGCCACCCCGCACTCTTAAAACCTGCCGCATATTGCAGTCAGTTGTTCTTTATCATAATCACGGCGTCTTCCTTTCAAAAAACATCTAAAATGTTTGCAGGCATGTTGACAGCATATACATGACATTTGAAAGAGTTGGCATGACAAAATATTAGGTACCTACAGCCTGTAGAATCATGTAGGCTACAGGATTCTCTTTCGTTCAAATTTAGCATGATACTCAAAGTCACATCACGCCACGCCACATCACGAAACAGCCAGCCATCCAGCCAGCATATTGACGTGTCCGCGTTTTCCATGTCACCATTCGCCAGCACAACGCTTAGATATCATCCTTTTGTACTTAACTGTTTTGCCGTTCGTCAATATGACGTATCAATGTTTTGCCAGGTCGCTATTTTGCAGCTTGCCATTAAGCCGTTTGTCACTTTGGCATGTCGCTTTTTTAATGTGCGGCCATTTGGTTTTTCGCCATTTTGTCATGTCGAGTTTATACATTGCGCTTTTTTAAATGCGCGTTGTAGCCGTTTCGACTTCTTGCTACGTGAACTTTTTACGTACCACTATTTGGCAGACGACAGAAAAGGTATTCGCCAAATGGGATTCTCGTTTTTTTTTGTACTAAAACCTCTGTGTACAACAAGCCACGCGGAAAGCGATCGTTTTTGTGAAATGAAACGTCGGCAGAGATGTAGGCTATGTTTCCAGCGTGTAGGTATTCACAGACAAATCTGACTTGAGGCTAAAAGGGAGCGGTGTAAGGGATGCAAGCTGAGGACAGCATGCAGCATTGGCAGGTGTTTGGCATTTAAGGTTGGCAAATGAACCATACTGTAAAGAAAATAAGGGTGGGCCGTGAGGTACAATCATTTAAGCGATCAGGGTCATACATTGTCTCGTCCCTCTCGTCACATTTCCGTCCAGCACCTTAGCAATGCAAGCAAACTGATGCCATCGATACATCGATTAAATCGACTATATGATATGCCATCCTGTGCCGTTCGGTACACAATGGTTTGTTATGTGCCCGTAAGCAAATGAACACGGCATCTGCCATTCACTGCTCGTATTCGTACTTGTATTTGTACGCGTCACGAGACAACTACATGCAGTATTTCTATTCCAAGCCTAGCGTCAGACAATACATGAAATGGCGGGTCATGTGGATAATGCTCACGAACAACACAAATCATACACGTGGTCATACATGAGTAGTCATGGCAGAGTAGTCAGTCAGCAAGTCAGTGCCTACCTGTCCTCGTGTTATGTTTTTTTCTGACCTCGACCTTAAAGTGCGCAGGGTCCATTTCACGGATAGTTGCCGGAGAATCATATAATGCACGCTCGACCGAGCAATCAAACCTACGCCTTTTACCCTTGGGGGTGTCGGAGGAGATGCGAGCCGAGCAGGATGTCTGGTGGTACCATCGTGAATTCCACGCCTGGTTGCAATGTCACGAGCGAGTGACTTTGGCTCGGACGACGTCAATAATTTTTCTGACAGGAGTTACACCTTGCCACACTCGTCATGATGCCTGAGTTGACTTTGTCCGAAAATTTCTTTAGTTGTAAGTTAGTTGGCCTAGCTGTGATGCCGGACTTTTCGGACATCCGGCTGCCATGCCCGACCTGTCGGACATCCGGCTGTAATGCTCGACCTCTCGGATATTCAGTGCGTCTAATCGGTGACGTCACCTCCTTCTACAGCGGCTTCCTCTTCACGGCACCCAAGTTGCTACAGGCGGGCACCAACGAGCGCGTCTGCGTCACGCTTTTCAACCTGCCCGGGCCGGGGCGGAACGTAACCTTCACTTTCTCGCTTTATAACGGGAATCCCTATGTGCTGGTACACCAGATACCGGACAATGTTGATGGTGAGTCCTATGTGCTGGTGCACCAGATACCGGACAATGTTGATGGTGAGTTTTAAAGTGCTGTCTACAGTGGGTAGTTAGGCAGGAGCCCAAAAACGTACAGCAGATATTTTGGAATTTGGATTTGGGTACTTGAGTAGGTAGGAGGATCTTGAGAGGCAAATAGAGCTAATCCATTTGTGACGTTCGTGAAGCAATCCTGCGTCGTTAATATGTGGTCGTGTTGATTGGCTGCTATTCTGTTCGCCAGCAACAGTTCAGTATCACATATTTTTAGAAACATAGTATACTGGACTGTTCTGCTGTGATTGGCTATTAATTTTTTGCCATTACCACACTAATCGCCTGTTATCAGCTCACACGGACGATCTGATTGGCTCGGTTGCCGATCGGCCCCTCTGATTGGCTGTCGCACTGACTTTGTCGTCTTCCTCAGCTGATGGCAATCACTGTTTCTATCTGCCCCTGCCCCGCACTGCGGTCTCACGGCACAACGACCTGGATTTCAACATTGCCAACGCTGCGGGGCTGCGCTTCTCAGACTCAGCCGAGGTTGGCATGCGAGATGTTGCAAGGACGTGTATGTACTCTTTGCGCTATGAGCGTCGGGGTTTTTATGTCGCGTATCCACGTCCAAGGGATGGCAAATCATAGCCAGGATTTCATTACGTTTTCTTTTCAGAATACTTGCCATCAGCTTTCGCTTCGCTCCATCACGCAATACCACTCGGGCAACAGACAGCAGTGGACAGAACAGGATCCGTTTTTCGCTTTTTTATTTTATAATACTCAACACGAGCGCAAGTAATCGGGCCTTAAAGGAGTGTTGCACATCTGTATGAGGCAGGACTGAATTAACCATGTTGAAGATCATTCGGTGCACTTCACAGCCCTGCCTTTCTTTAGGCACAAACTCCTCTAGTTTCTGAGCTATACGCCCGCGAAGATGTGCACACTTTTTCGTGAAGGTTATTTCAAGGTCACTCGGGCATTCATGACGCCGTGATAACGTCATTCAAATGCCGCTCTTCCATGGCCCAGGCGGCGCTCAGGGCTCAGAAATATGTATTAAGCGAGTTGTTCATATCCAGCGTTCGTGAGCACGACGTCCAGGTATCGCGGCCGTCAATGGGCTCTCAGTCACTGCTGTGCAAGGTACAATGACTCAGTCAAACAATGACGTAGATAAATTACGAACGTTGTCAAGTGCATGTGCGAGGAACATTATTTACATAAATAAGACAGTAGTAATAGCTTTATCCTCGAAGAAAACCAGGAGAATGAACATATAGATGCGTTGTTGTTTGTCAACATGCCTTCATGAAAGCAATAGCAGATAACGTATTGACATATTGATGACCATATGTACAAAGACGCATCGACATATTGATGAGCGTGCTTACTATAGAGACGAATTGTGTTGTCTGGAGCAGTCTTTTCCACTTAAGCATACCAATATAAGTAAGCTTATATAACCATATCTGATAAATGTTCTAGAATTGCCGACTTTGGGTGTAAAGCAGCACCCTATAAGCAGGATTTTTCACTCCTTTTACCATATTTTAGGTCAATTTTCCACCTCTACCTATTGTTGTCCAACCGCATATACCAAACCCATGCCTCCCTTTACAAGGTTTTCAGATCTCATCCAAAACCGAGCTCAATTGAAAACATTTAGTAATAAACAATGTTCCACACAATCTGGACACCTATGGCTATATCCTACATCACCTACATCTGAATCATGTCCATGTATACACAGAGCAAGGACACCAGGTGCCTCCAAGCCCAAGACCCTCAACGACTCCAGCCCCCTGCATACATCAAGTTTGGTTTGTTTACAAAATGCTTCACAATATACAGCTGTGTGCCAAATGCAAGGTTTTCACGAATCACCCGTTTTTTGGTCCCACCACGCAAGCACCACACCACCAAAGTGAACCCTGGTAAAAACACCAGCAAAGCCTGGTAGAGAATTTTATTCCACGCATTTCTTTCGCCCGATGAAACTCGACCATTAAATCGCACCATCCCGGAAGCGCAGGAGTAAAAAATTCAAGAAATACCTTATAAAATAAACTCATTACCTGAGTATCATCATCGCAGCACATCAAACATGGTGTCATGTTGCTTATAAGTTTTGTTATATGTTTTGAGCGGAAAAGACTGCCCTAGAAAGCACAATGCTCTGATGAGTAAATATGCCGCTCAATGCGTCATGGTTTGATAACTTTCTAACGCTTTGATTTTTTATTTTGATTTGATTTTAACGTTTTTAAGGATTTGATAACGTCATCGTATCTTACATAACATTAAGAGCCAACTGACGGCTGCTTTATCTGGAAATCGCGCTCGCGAACACCAGATATGAACGCCTCGACAAATGTATTTGATTGGCTTTGATCGCCGCATGGCTTATGGAATGGAAATGAATGGTAGAACTTGAATGATGTTGTTGTGACGTCTTGTGTGCCGAGGGACTGAAATTCTCTCCCCAATATGCCTTTACCCAGTGTTGGGGGTGTGCAGCCCAGAAACTAGACAAGCATAGGTCATAAGAAGGGCAGGCTTGTGTACGGCACCGAAAGGTATTCAGACTGCTATTTCAGTTTTCAGTTTCAGTACCCGCATGAACGTGGAACACCCCCTTTACGGGCCTAGTGGCCAGCGTGTCGGACCACGAAGCGGGGGGGAGGGGGGGGGGGAGACGCGCTCGGTGTCGTCATGGCCCCTGAGCGCCAATATGGCCGATGCAGCCGTTGACAATTCATAAAAGGGCGTGATGGCGTGCGTCGCGTTCGCTTTAAAAAATAATGAAAGTGTAGCTTCTTCAGTCTACCATATTGTGGCCACCTGGCGGCTGGGCAAAGTCAATATACCTTGCCGTACTTTGTGTCTTTTATCGTTCCAATCAAGCATGAAAATGACATTCTCCAACCGGGATCACAGCATCACAGCATCATATGTTGCACATCATATGATGTTGACGCATAATGCACAGCATGATATGCCAGCCTAGTTGTACTACCTCGGAATCTGCCTGGCACAAAACCCATTTGCTCTGGCCCGACAAGTGATGACAACACCCGCTTCAGACCGGTGCCAATGTTGCTGATATTTTATTGCATGTGGTTTTAAGCAGCTTTATCGGCCCGTCGCTTTGATATTATCTCTGGGTTTGCCAATATTTAACGGGATAAGTCTTCGGAATGGCAAATACCGTATTTCATCTGCGACAAGTGACTGTCGTCTCTAGGAAGAGATACATTGAATTTACACCACACTTTCTTTTTGCTACGTTGCTTTACTACTAAGTCTATGCACACCACAAAATGATCCGTGCGATACTTCGGCAAGACTTTGGTGCTCTGTACGCTTCCGAGGATGTTTGATGTCACTGTAATGTAATCTAACAGGGCCTGTTTTACTTTGGGAGTATACCTTTCGCTGACCCCACCCAATCATGAGCTCTGTGCCTTACGGTATGGTCGTCGACTTTTTATAAGAATGGATTCACTTATTTCCTATCAGGGTGGTATTTTCCTCTGTGTATGACTTTGAGCTATAAAAGGGTAATATGGTCCCTACCTCCCTGGATTTCAGCCTAAAGGTGTTTTGCCGAAAATGGTCTCTGAAGGGGGTATTCCTTGTGTTGATTTTAGCGTCTCGCAGGCGTTCATTTTGTCTCAAATGGATAGGGCGCATGGATTCCTCCCATCATGGTCGATTATGCAAGTATGATAAATGCCTTGATGTGTGGTGCATGCTGGCTTAAAATCTTTTGCACATATGAGTGATGTCTTGCACGTGATACACGATGCTTGTTTAATGGAAATCATTTACATGTTTGAATGAAGCGTAATGCGTGATGCCTGTTAACTTGAATTCGTGTGCACGTACACGTATTGTTCGCGCATTTTAATCCTTAGTCAGATATGTGCTGTACCCTATCAATCGCTAGCAATGGCTCCTTGTTTAATACCCTGAATGTTGGTGGCCCCATACATCTGTGGCCCGCTGTTAAAGAAATTGGGAAACCGACTAGGATCGGCAGTCAATTTTGAATTAACTATTGATATTTGTTTGGATAGATGAATGCTGCCGGAATATTAACGCATCTATATATCTACTCTCTTGGCTTTTCTTCGAGGAAAAATGTCATTATTGCTTTCATATCCATTTGCATAACGCTCCTCGCAAATGCACTTAACAACCTACCTAATATCACGTGTTCCGTAAGTGGGAGCCCACCCATACCTTGAGACATTGCTGCTATTCGGGTGTCATTGCTGCCATTGCTGCTATTCTATACTGTCACATTCGCTCCAGCGCAAACCGTGGACGTTTCAACGTTGGGCGTCGCTTTTGGAGGATAATATCACACCTCGGCAATCAGAGCAGATAAACTAAGCGTGCATCCATCTATATGAACCGCGGAGTGTGCCGTCCGCAGGTGCAAACACTGTGCCGTGCGAGTTCAACACGCTCGGACTTAGCCCCATGACGGTGACAAACGAGAGCCCTTGTTGACGAGTCTGGCGAAGCCCATCAGAAGGAGGGCTTAACTTGCTGTTGGGATCCTCGGTCCACGCAGATCCAGACATTTTAACTACCGGTAACTTACTTCTGCATGAGACACTCCTCACTTGTATGTAGGCCTGACACGCCGCGATTGAGCTAACATGACTAAACATAGACCTTGAAACCGTAGCTAGATGTGTCATCAAGACCTGTGCACTGGCTTCGGATGAGTTGTCTTTGGGGGGCGTCAACCCCGAACCCGGGTTAAAAACAAAGTGAGGACAGAACGCTTAACTAAACTGACGTGCCTGCCATGAACGAAAGAGAATGCAAGCAACCTTAAGCTGGCCCCGGCTCCACCTGCATGGCAACGGGCCAGCTAGTTCGTTCGCCCGGGCCGGTTCCAAGGGCGTTCATCGTATTGCAGGCTACCTACTTTGCGATATGTGCTTCTACTGTCCTGTTTTCCGGCCTCGCAGGTGAACATCTACAGCTCCACGCTGGTGACGCTGATTCAGTACGGACAAGCCTCGATACCGCCCAGGGATAAGTCCTGATTCGTATCATATCCCTGCGACAAGACCTCACTACCCGTCGTCGAGAACGTGAGCCGTCCAGACCTTGCTTTAGCCTTTGACCGTCGCGCTTTGGCCGTAGACCTTTGCTTTGGTCAAACGTCATGCATAGGGCGTGGCCGACGCTGTGACTGCCGCACGCCAGGAATATTTCCTCACTGCAGGATATCGGCTATGTCCACTGATTGGTACTGGATGCTGTAATTATCGTCACGGAACACACGGCGGGTGGTGGTGCAGGCCCCTGACGTCCCTACCGAGCGTATTCAGTGGTAATAGGTGCCCTGTGATGCGAAGCGTTCTGATGTGTTTATTTCAGGTGCCATTAACAGCACGCATTGGCAGCACTGCGAAGCTCAGCTCAACTGTGGTTCGGACGTTTTCGGTTACCTGTTGACGACTGCCTCTCAGTTTCCTGAGGTGTGGGTGGGCACGCCAGACCAGCATCCGCATCGCCCAGTGGAAGGACATCAAGACCAGTGGAGGCCTGATTCAGCTGGAGGTGCAGCTGACGCGAGGAGCCGCCCCTGGTGAGGTCACACAAAAGCCACGGGTCGCCCTGGTGCACGTTACACCCCGCCTCTCTCCTCCCTGCCCCCGTATTGAGGTGATCCTCGGACGAAGGGGTCTCCCCTGTTGAGGTCACATGAAGGTCAAGTGTCCTCCGTAGTGCAGACCCACCTCCTCCCCCCCCCCCCCCCCGGTGGCATCACGCTCGGATCGAAGAGATGTCCCTGATGAAGCTATTCAGCCGCCTGCCGCCATCCTACTAAAATGCATTGGCACATGACTGCGACTCGACAGCACAAGGTCCCCAAGACGGCAAAAGCTGCCTAAAATGCACCCGAACACTGCTGGAGGCATTTCAGCAGCATTTACCAGTGACTTCAGGGCAGGTGGACTATCAACGTGGCGACCTCGAGACGATTTGAAACCAAAGCTTTTATTGTGGAAGAGTTATGTGCTGCCGACTTGTCGAGGTCAAGGTCAAGAGCCCAGAATACCTGCTTCCCGGAGAGAAGACTGTCACCGTCGACGTCTGTGCCAAGTAAGCACTGACTGAAGCACCAAGTAAGCACTGACTGATGCACCAAGTAAGCACCGACCAAGTAAGCACCGACACCGACTGTGCAATAGCTGATGACGCAAGCGCCAAAAGCAATACTCGATGTGTGGCGGGCAGAATTGCGCCATAAGTTTGAGGTGTGGCAGACGGTGCATCAACTGGTCATTTTCACAGAGTTCCTGTCCAAGACATTTTGCCGCGCCTGGAAACATTCATTTTTATGGTTCACCACACCATGATGTGGTGGGAGCTTTGCCTTTCAAGTGTCTTCCAAGTGCTTCTATTGCCGCCTAATAGCTTCACACTTAGTGCGTTTGATGCCGCATAATATGCTACAGTACGAATAGCACAAGATATTGAAGGCGTTGTTTTTCTTCACCACTGTGAGTGACACCTATGTAAACATGAAGGTGCTCTTGGCTAGTCATCGGCTGTTCACCACGTTTTCCAATTATTTCGCTTGCAAAAAATCGGACAGTGTGTTTCGAACAAGAGAGCGTGATGAACCAGAGACTCTGCCAAGCAAAGCTGTTCACCACGACGCTTATTTTACAAGCCCAGTTGTGCAATACCAGTCTAATACACATTGTTTTTCGAGAGATTTCACACGCGCGCCGGGTGGCTGACTTGAGTGCGATGCGCTCGGGTGTGGCGAGATAAGGATTTAGTTCGACCCGGCTCAGTTCTCACAAGGTAAGAAAGTTAGAGGCCCAAAACTCAGTGTAGGTAGCGTTTGATATCAACTCACTTGTGCCCAATTTTAGTCCTCAAAGTCCTCCCAAGCAGAAGGAGGATAGC